CAGCCCCACCTGCTTCGCGGTGGGGGAGCCCCACCGGTGCCCGTGGGTCTCGGCGAGACCTGACCCGGCCAAGGTCCGTGTCGGCTGGGAGCGCGGGTGCCCTGGGAGTGCGACATTAGGGGAGGAGATGGAGCACGCCGGAGGAGCCATTGTAGGAGCCGGCAGCGCCCGGGTGTCGTCTCCTGTGCGGGTCCCCGTAGAGCCGCGCTCCCCACAAGGGTTCGGTGCTGCGCGGTACCTGTTGTGTTACACGAGTTACACCTCCCTGCCCCAGCTGACCCGTCACAACACGACAGAAGCGCAGGGCGGGAGCTCCGCTGGCAGTCCTTACGTATTTGTTATTTTAGGTACGTGCTTTGGGGCGCTTCACTTAGTGTGACTTGTTCTTTAGCGTAGCGCAGGCTGGTGATTGGACTGTGGGAGACAGCTCCGTGACCTAATCCGCTCTGGTCACGGCAGTTGGCATACAGAATATGCCTTCATTGAAAAGTGCTACAACGTGGTGAAGAGAAAATGAGAAGACAGATGCACTTCAGTTGATTATTGAGAGTAGCATTGTATGGGGATATTTTTACTTTCTTTTCTGCATGAGGAGGAGAGTTTCACCATAGGTGGAAGGGCAGCTGGTCTGATGCTGGTAACTTTAGGCTCTGTGTAGAATGACCCGTTTTTAAAAAGGGGCTACCTGATGATTTACCCATAGTGAGAAACAATTCCTTATATGTGAACTGTGTGTGTCAACAACAGTCACCCTTGCTGTGTTGCAGGTGCCTGAGGAACTTTTGTCTGTTTTGTGCTGTGATGCTAACACTGTGCAGTGAGCTCTGCTCCTAGCAGGAAGGAATGGGCAGTCATTGAAATAATCTGAAATTAGTGGATTTTGTATGTTTTAATGTTCATGATTGCGCCAAATCAAGATTTGAAATAGATACAGTTGTCATGATCTTCCATTATTTTTCAAAATGTAAATTTATGAGTCCCAAATGGCTGCTCATAGTGCCATAACACAAGAAGAAACACAGTGAGTGGGGCCTCAAAGAGCTTATTAATTTTTAATTAATATTAGCTTCTGGTTTCAACAAGTTGAGTGTAGGTGTTAGTATAATCTAGGTAATTAACAGTGAGAGAAACTAACGTGTGGTAAAAATGCTCTGGTTTAGCCTGTAATATACAGATGCAGTATTCCCTCCATTAATGTACAAAGATAATTAAGAGATTTCTGATTTACCATTGTCTATTTAGGACACGTATATTAAATTGCATTAATCTTTCTTCAGAGATAATACAATCTATTGCTTTTGTCATTTATATGTTCTTTGTAATTTGTCAGTGTTGTTGTTTCTTTTATAGTCAAATGAAAGAAAACTCTGCACAGTAGTCCCAAGTGCGAGATTAGCAAAGCTGGTGTAAAGAGGAATTATTACCTCTGTGGCTTTAAGAATCAAACCTGGTGTGTATACATGACTTGTAGGTACATGTGCTTTTCAAATAGAACAAATTCTTGTCTAACACATGCTTTGCCGGGGATAGGTAAGGACATCATTTCAGGATTGTACACAGAATAGATTTGTGTACATAAAATACCTGTAAAAAGGGGCAAAACAGAAGACTGAAAATATCTAGGACTTTTGAATGCTTTAGCTTAATTAGTGCCTGTTCCCATGACATCTGTACAGAATCCATAAGACATTTTTATTTAGGTTTGTTGTGTTTGAAAGAAGTGAATTCCAGTCTTAGAAGACTTTAGCATGAAGGGAAGAAGGGGCAATCATAATAGAAAAAGGGTATTTCCTCATGTAATTGAAATAGCTGTCAGTTAAATAACGATCTGAATAGGAGAGGCTGTAAGTAAAGTGATGGGCTGTAATGTATTTTGGAAGAAGGTGGCATCTCTCCTAGGAAAGTTTTATTCCATGCCTAGTCCGGTCTGGTTCTCTGAAGTCCTGTCTATTTTGTAAACTCAAAGGTAACATTTCCATGGCCCTTTGAGCTGGTCTGCCTTGAGGATCTTGTAGTCTTACTGCCTCTTAGAGCCAGCAATCGTTTTTGTTAACTGGCAGTGAGTTGTTTCAGGGAGATGAACAGACTGAACACTACGCTTGCTTGCTGGAGTGGTTGGTGTGTGGCTGGGTGAGCCCCAATGTTCCTCAGAAGTGCCGGCTGGAGAGGTGGCTGAGGAGCGGAGAGGGATGAGTCTGCGTGGGGCATCAGGTGGGAGGGCAGAGCTCAGGCAGCCCCAAGAGCCCAGGGGCGAGACACAGTCTGGAAGTGCAAAATGAACAGGGAGGCCTGGGACAGCAACTCACAGTGTTGCTATGCATTCACAGTGCATTGCTTTCTGTTTCTGACTGAACAGTTAACACCCTCAGTGTTAGTCTGTGGTGGCCACTGGAGTTCCTGATATTTAATAGTGCCATTTCAGTCTGTTTAGTGATATATTGACAGAAAAAAAATGATTATATGAAAGAAGCCAAATCAAAGGAAAGAAGTAGAAGGCTGTTTCTTGGGAGGAGGATAATAAGACACAGTTAAACCTTTAGTAAGCTTCAGTTTGGCATAATTATGCCTGTACAAGTGGAAATCAATAATATGCAACGGGCCAAAGATGCTGTCAGCGGTTGGAAGGTATAATTGCATAGGCCTGAATGGATATCTTAAAAATAACCAAGCAGTCTGGGGAGGGGAAATTTTTCCACATAAACTTTGCATGTACATGAACTGCTCCACTCCAGCACTATCTTAACGCTTTGTATAGGCCTGAGTCTGCATTTTAATCCTTTTTGCAAAGTTAAGTCCCTTTAATTGGAAACCAGCTTGACCTGTGGTAGTTCCTGAAGAAATCTCTATATCATCTGGCTCGACTGATGTGTATTTAATGTAATTCTTGCACTGGCTTATTATCCTTTAACCTTCTGAGCAATTTTTCATTGGTCTTTTAACTGTACACAATTCTTGACACTTCTTTCAAAATGCCAAAAGAAGAGTTTTTATTTGTATTGTAGTCCTAATGCTCATTTTCCTTCTTTTTTTAATAATTTTCTATTTCCTCTTAGTGGAAACTAATCTACTAAATTCTATATTACTTTTAACTCTTTGGAATTAATTTACCTCCACTTGTATTGTTTAAACTAATGCATTTTTATGAAAGCTGTATGCTCCTCCCTGTTTCTTCCTACTTACTTACTTTCAAGCCTGTTGACCAGTGTCAGCCAAAATTGACAAAGTGGTGTAAGCGTCAAAGATACCGATTTTTTCCAGGTTTTATGAAAATAATTTCCATTTATGCTAATGGAAAATTTGCAGCATGATTTCAAGTTACCTGCTCTGTTAGACCTGGCTTAAACTGGCCAGCTAGTTGATGCCTAGCTCTGAACGAATTGATGGTTGAGCTGCTCTTTGACAAGCTGACAGGGAGCACAGCTGGGTTTTACAGCAGTGCTGTAAGAGCTCCGGGCTGTGGCCAGAGGAAGCCTGGAGTTTGCAATGCAAACGTGAAGTGTAGTGTGTATGTGAGAAGTGTAGGATGTGTATGTGAGATAAGCGATTCGTACCTGATCTTGAAATACCTCATATTCTTAAAACTGAGCTCTGTAAAGCTATAATTTCCATGGAGCAGCCTTCAAAACATGTTAATTAGTGAAATTTTGAGTTAGAAGCTGGTGTATGTTCTGGTTTATACGTGATTCCAGGGTTTGACAGCAGTAAGTTTGTTGAAGTTTAATGTCTGTTGGCATATTCTGTAGATAATTTTTTCTTTTTAGAGGGAAAAATGCAGGAAGAGGATGTATTTGTAATCTTCATTTACATCTTATAGCAGCTCCATGCTGAAAAGGTAAAATAACAGTTTTCAGTTTGGAGTTCTTTTGTTTCTTGGGGTGGATTTCTTTTTGTGTTTTGGTTTTTGGTTGGTTGTTACTTTGGGTTTTTTTGGTTGGGATTTTTTTTTTTTTTTTGTGGTGTGTGTGAGGAGGAGAGATTGGGGGTTGTGGTGCTTTTATTCCCGGTGCCTTTTCTAAAAGGTGGTTCAACAGGATGTTTGGAGGAAATGTGACGTTATTGGGTTTTGGCATTCCAGGAGAGCTTGAAGTGGATCCAGCATACTGTCTTACGCATTCCCTTCTGCACTGAATGTCAGGAATAATTCATGTTGTTGACAGTTATGTCAATATGTGAAACTGAGTGAAGGACAGGAACTAAACAAAAAGCTAATAATAGAAGAGGCATGAAAGTGAAAAGTGAACACTTTGTTAGTAAACTTTCTCGCTGTCACAAGTAAGAGGGTCAAATAGTGCAGCCTGTCCTTATCTGTTACCACAAGCTCCTTCTTGTTGGCAACGTTCGAACCAAAGAGAGCTGTTACGTACATTTTGTCAATATGGGAAACAAGCAATTTACCAAAGAAAAGAACACTGCAAAGGATCCTTTATGGCAGTGTGTACATGTATAATTTATTTATTTTAAATCTGTCAGATCAGAAAATGGGGCTACAGCTCCCATTGTCTGGTAACTCTTAGTGAATTTAATTAGATAAAGCAATGAAAATGGTTGAATTGTAGGAGAGAGATTTAAATAAACACATTTTAATCTCATAATGACATGTCTCAAGCTGGGCATGGGGAGGTTTAGTCTGGGTATTAGGAAAAATTTCTTCACCAAAAGTTGATCAGGCATTGGAACAGGCAGCCCAGGGAAGTGGTGGAATCAGTGTCCCTGGAAGTGTTCAAAAAACATTGAGATGAGGCCTTTAATGACATGGCTTAGTGGTGGTTTTGGCAGTCCTGTGGTAATGGTTGGACTTGATGATCTTAAAGGTCTTTTCCAACCTGGTTAATTCTACAATTCTACGATTCTGTATAGAGGTGTACAAAACTAATTTTGATTCATCTCAATTTGTTCAGTTATTTGCTTTACTTCTGCTTTCAAAAGCTCTATGAAGAATGGTAACCATTGCCCATATCAGTTTGTCTGCCAGGCAATATGAGGCACCATGGTAGCTGTTGTTTGATGCGTCTTCTGCAGTAGAAGAGTCAGCTCTGTTGGTTCAGTGATTACCACACTATGTATCCTGTGGTAAACTAACCAGCCACTCCAGTACAGGCTGTTGAAGAAACGTTTGTTCTATTTTGGGACATGCTTAGTCATCCCTGTTTTGGCCTCTTAACAGGTTACAGGCATTACTTGTTTTTCTTTCCTAGTAAAGCTGATGAATAAGTTAATCAGAAGGCCAGTTTCTGAGAAAGTTTGTGGTGCTGGAGGATGTGAATTCTGGAGTGCTGTATTATTGCCAAGTGTGTTGTGTACTGCTAGCAGTGATCAGAGAAAACATTCTGCATTTATTGTGTGTTAGTAAATCTAAAAGTTTACATCATGCAGGTATGGAGTGGCTGCTAAATATGGGACAAGCATATGTAATAGGATCTCTATTAGTCGGGAATATGATACAGCCCGAGGACAACATTCAGCTATAAATATTTCTTCATACTTGTTGTAAACAGAAAACTTTACTAAAGAGACTTGCTTTCAATTTGGCTTTCTCTGATGGCTAAACTTGCTTGTATGTTTGTCTTATGATTTGGTGTAGGCTGTGTAAACTACATCTGTACCTTAATTATTAGTATGTTTTGTGTTGATTTTTCAGGAGGCCTAGCAGCATGCAGGTCTAGTACATTTTGTGTTTAACTGAGTTGTTACATAAATTAAAATATTTTCTCTTATCAGAAGTAAAATGCTTTCTATGGGGACTTCAGCTTCTGATGCCAAGACTCTTTTGAAGACTTACTTTGTTGCTTGGCTTAAAGGAAGATGATGTTGTTAATGAATTCTGAGCATCCTTCAGGACGCTGGTGATCCTTCTATTGTTGGTGAATGCTGTCATGGACAACTTTCAAAGGGTAAAGGCAGTGGTTTTGTGAGTGTTTCAGGCTAGTGCTCTAATATAGGAAGCAGTGGGTTAAATTTTTGGTTTGTATTAACTGCCCAAAACTCACTTTTTTCACTCTTAAAACTGTTCACAAATCATGGGAACAAATTAGAGATAACAGTTTGCTGGAGCGGCTGTCCAGCTTTCTACATGAGCTATCTTTGAAGAGTGTATTTTTTCCCCAGATTCTAGCATAATATAGATACACTTGAGATAGCTTTCAATGAACTAATTTGGGTCTGGCAAGTGTTACTGCAAAATATAAGCAGTGAAGTAACTTAGATTTTGTTCAGCTGTGTACTGCTACAGTCTTACTTGAGTACTTTGTTTAGAAGTCAGTTTTATTTTAAGTATTTCAAAGCTATACTATGGATAATTTTAGGTGTACCTTCAGATACTCTTCTACAGTTGTTTACTGCAAAGGCCAGATTTCATTTCATACTTGATTTCATTTCATACTTGGTTTAATTTCCATAAGTCAATACAAGATTTTTTTTTCCTCTTAATAAATCTCTGAAAATAATGCTTTGTTTAATCATTAGTCTTTTTGTTGCTTGAGGGCTAGTTTTGGCTAATGTTTCTTCATAGTCTTTTTTTAAACACAGTAAATGGGGGGGGTGGGGGGGTGGGGGGGATGTGCGCACTTAATAACCTCTAACTAAATAATTGTCTTAAAATGTAGTAGTTTATTACTGGTTTAGTAGCAGTATTTTGTTTAAGACAGTATTTAAAGGAGTACCTTTGCTTTCTAAGAATGCTTTATCTGCCTACTATGTTTATTCTTTCTGTTTTATCAGCTCTTTTCCAAAACACCACAAGCAGTTAATGCACCTTATAAAGGACTCCTGACCTTTCGCATCTTCCCAAGTCAGATCTAGATGTCACCAGTGTTTCCCATGTTAACAGTTCTGAGCATGTTTTACTATATGTGCCTTCGGCGCCGAGCTCGGACAGCGACTAGAGGAGAAATGAACAGCCGAAGGGCTATTGAATCAAACACCCGAGCCTTACCTATCAATGTTGAACTAGTTCAGTACGCCAAAGAAGTGTTGGATTTCAGCTCTCACTATGGTAGTGAAAACAGCATGTCGTATACCATGTGGAATTTAGCAGGTATTCCTAATGTGTACCCTAGTTCTGGTGACTTTACTCAGACTGCTGTCTTTCGAACTTACGGAACCTGGTGGGATCATTGCCCTAGTGCTCGGCTGCCATTCAAGAGGACACCACCAACCTTCTGTAGCCAGGATTATGTGGAACTTGCTTTTGAGGAACCAGTTTATCCCACTGCAGTGCACATTCTGGAAACATATCATCCTGGAGCTGTAGTCAGGATTTTGGCATGCTCTGCAAACCCTTACTCACAAAATCTGCCAGCTGAAGTAAGGTAATTTTTTTTTTTTTCTCCTTAATGCTTTCCTGTAAGATGTTAAATGCCACAAATAATGCTGTGTAGCAAACTTTACTTCCGAGTACTTCTGTTTTATATCTGATCCACTGATGTTTCCTCTATTTCTGCATGTTTTTAAAACTCTGGTGACATGTTTTGATAGCAACTTGAGATGTGGATTTTTTTGTAGGAATTAGTGCAGATCCTAATTACATTTGTGTAATGATAGTTTTTGTGTTGGAATTTTAATGAGTAATAATTATTATGTATGTACAAAAAAATCACTTTTGAAGTGACATTTCCGAGTTCTTCTCTTTCTCCAATAAGGAAAGCAAACAGTGTAGGAGAGGCTGAGGATTCATGGTTGCTGTATCATCCTTCTTCAAGTAGCCATAAACTTTCTTCTGGCTGCATATGTTAGGTTGTATGTATAGTACAATCAGGCACTATAACTGTTAATATGGAAATGAGGCCAAACCCAGAAGCACAGAACAGTTGGACAAAAGGTGATGCCATTTGTCTGATATTTATTTTTGGTATGATCAAAGGGTGTTAGCCACACATCATTTTTACACTTGCTTCATAGACTAAAAGAAGCCAAATTGATCCTGTTGGTGGAGGCTCTTAGGAGATTAGGAAATAGAAATGGAAGGAGAAAGAGAACAGGTAAAAGCGTAGTGGGGAAGAACACGGGGAAAAGCCATCAGTATATGCAGTCAAAGTATTCTGTATACATCAAAAAGATAGTAAATAACCCATAAAAGAAAACTGATAGAAGAAAGACTATCCTATAGAAAATAACATGCCAAACAAATACTGTATTCCTTTAAAGTGCACACTGTGGCGGTATAGGCAGTGTTAGCTTGGATACTGGGTGGTTTTTTTTCCTGACTTGCCTGTTACAGATACAGCTAAAAAGCATACTTGGAGGTCTAATTTAGTAACCCATGCTTCCTAATACTAGGCCATTGATGTTTATTCGAAATCCCTAGAAAATCAGGTGTCATGTCATATATTCAAAATTCCCAATTAGTATATTTTGTGTGGTTCTGTCACTTACTGTTTTTTTCGTGCAGTTGTTTTACAGCACTCTGATAAGTATATACTGTATAGCTCTAAACGTCCGAAATCAAGGGACAGTGATAAATCAAACTAATAATAATAGGCCACCCAGCTTCAGAAGTAGGTGAAGTGTCTTTGGCACTGTAATACAGAACTTATTTATGAAATGGTATGTGGTGAAGGCAGCTTTTAAGACTTTTGAACTTGGAACCTAATGTGAAATGTTTTTTTGTCAATTACTCTATGAACTTTCATTTTACTATTTTATTTTATAATGTAGCACAGATTTATGAAGATATTTCTGTAACTTGATAATACTGCTTTAGAGTAATAGTAAGATCGTGTTCTGCAGGGTGGTATGAAGGTATAATTCTGAGTAATAGGATAATGCTATTTTATAAAAATGCCTGTTTAGGTTTTGGCTCTTAAAATAATACTTCTTGTAGTTTTGTGTAAAGACCAATAAGCGTTGTAGGAAAGCTTAAGAAGTGTTAACTGAAAGAGCACTAAGAATAAAAAATATTTCAGAGTGCTAAAAGAAGGTGAAAGTAAAAAGACTTAAAAATACTAACATGAAACTTCTTGGATGTGCTTTATGACTGCGCTTGTGGTGTGGACAGTCAGAGCTCAGACTTTCCGTTCCTTGTAAATAAGGATGGACCTTCTGTAGGACCTGCTTTTGAATTTGTAGGCAAGAGTATCTTCTGTTCTGCCTACCTATGTTAACAATATCTTGGTTAGAAGAACTCAGAAGAAGTTGGCTGTGCTGCATCTTCAGGACTTGTCAGTTTTGATGCTAGGGAAGTGTTAGAGGGACTTTTTTTGTTTGTTCCCTTTTGGCTTACCTTTCCTTAGCAGGACTTGTCTGTTGAGAGCTGCTCATTTGGTTTGGCTCTTTCTTTCTTCTGAAAGAGGCAAACATGTCTTAACGTCTTGAAGGGAAGATAAAGGAACTCTTTCTCCACGTGAGGTATGCAATATTTTCCTCTGTTCATTCGCTTCCCCTTATAAGGGGAATATGAAGAGTTGCAAGAATGTGGTCTCTTTTCTGCTTCAGTTCTTGGCCCCTTGTTTTCATTTCCAGAAATTTTTGAACTGTCAACTAAAAATTATTCTTTTTGAAGGTGAAATGCTGCTGATAATCTCAGTTATTCTGTGTTGAATTGATGTTTTGGACTTGAAGAACTGTTGTACTATTTCCTTCTGTTAAAAAGGCCCTGTCTGAATTACTGGAAGGACACTTAGAATTTGTCTTCCTCCTCTTTCTATTTTGATGCAAAATTTTAAATCCCCTTATTCCCTAAAAACCTTAAAGTACTGTTTTGTTTTATCTGCTGACTCTGGATCTGTTTCTTTCTGAACACCAATGTAGAAAAGGCAGGTCATTAGAAAGGTTCCTTTTCATCAGTTCTTTCTTCGATACGAAGAAAAGACTATATTAATGGTGAATTCAAAACTGTTGAGAGGAAAAAGTCTCTTGAGACTTGTTTAAATGTTACGTTTAGTGGATTATACTAGCTGAGCTGAGTAACCTTTTTCTTTTTTTTTTCTTTCTTTATTTAATATCTAAAACATCAGCTCATCCAAGACTGCTGTGTGCAAAAACTTCTGACCTACAAGAGGCTCCATAAGGACTTGGGCCACCACAGCCCTCACTCAAGGGGACTTTATATATTCTTGCAGAAAAATGGCTATAGCTCACATTGGCCACTGTGTTGCTGTTGCTCACTTTATGCTTCAGTTGTCTGAAAGGACTTACACAGGTGTTCAGAAAAAGGTCTTTAGTCATGTTCCTCGGTTGCTGGTGCACTAAATACTCCTATCAGTTACAGCTTTGTATTTTGCTGTCTCAGATCAGCTTTATTCAGAGCCATTTTTTAGAGGTGGGATCAGCTCTTCAGCAGTGTCATGGTTTAAATCCAGCCACACAGCTCGTTCACTCACTCCCCCCCTTCCTTCCTCTTTCTTTCCTTCCTCCCCCCCTGCCTCCCCCTCCACTTCCGAAGGGATGGGGAAGAGAACCGAAAGAATGCAACTCCCATGGGTTGAGACAAGAACAGTCCAGCAGCTAAGGTACAACACAAATCACTACTACTACAATACGATACCACCCGCCAAAATGAGTCCAACCCAAGAGAGCCCCCATGCCCTTCCAGGTAACTCCCAGTTACCTCCCTGGTCATGACGTGCTGTGGTATGGAATACCTCTTTGGCTAGCTTGGGTCAGGTGTCCTGTTTCTGCTTCCTCCTGGCCTCCCCTCCTCCCTGGCAGAGCATGAGACTCAGAAAGTCCTTGGTCAGAGTAAACATGACTTAGCAACAACTAAAAACATTGGTGTTATCAGCTCTGTTCCCAGGCTGAAAGTCAAAACACAACGCTGCACCAGCTACTAAGAAGGAGAAAAAATTGACTGCTACTGCTAAACCCAGGACAAGCAGTTAATGTGAAATAATTTTCCACTAACTTCCAGCAGTTTGAGATTTCTGTCTTCTCATAGCTTTTGCAGCTTTAAACACAGAAGACATTGCATCACTCTCCTCTGCATAAAACAATTTTTAAAAGTCATAAATGTCATAGAAACTGCTGTCTTTACACATGAAGACCTGTGCTTTTCATCAGTGCCACTTACACTGTTGAGAAGTGTTTGGTTATTTCTTAAACAGTGCTAACATTATGTTAGTATCCACCTATAGATTTGTTACATGAATTATCTGAGTGCAGAAAATCCAAGCAAAAATTAATAATCAGAAATTAAGGGAGTATTGTAGCATAGGGTCTCAGTAGTTATATGGTGAAGGAATCCACCCCTTTCTTATGTTGTGTTCTACTATGGTTATACTAGTGTAGCCTTGAGATTTTTGTATTGTGGTGCACATTCTCTGTAGTTAGGGTTTGGTAACAGCAATGTGGCCCTCTTTGGGCAGTGGAAGAGCTGTCTTAGAACTGCAGGGACTCTTTATCTCATGTAGGTTATAGTGATACCATATATTCACGTGCTTTTATAAAAAGCTTAAAACCAGAGATTCCTAACTAGTCTGAGATGTATAGCTGTGCTTGGGGTAATGTTTCATAGCATATAGGTGCTGGAGAGTGTCCAAAGAAATGGAACAAAGCTGGTAAAGGTTTAGAGCACACGTTTTATGAGGAGCATTTGAGGGATCTGGGTTTGTTTATCCTGGAGAAGAGAAGGCTCAGGGGGGACACCTTATTGCTCTTTGCAACTACCTGAAAGGAGGTTGTAGCCAGGTGCTGGTCGGGCTCTTCTCCCAAATAATGAGCAACAGGCTTTGAGTTGCACCAGCGGAGGTTTAGGTTGGAAAAATAGGAAAAATTTCATCACCAAAAGGGTTGTCAAGCACTGAACAGGCTGCTCAGGGAAGTGGTGGAGTCACCACCCCTGGAGGTTATCTAAAAGACTTGTAGATGTGGCACACAGGGACATGGTTTAGTGGTGGACTTGTCAGTGCTAGGTTAACAGTTGGACGCGATCTTAAAGGTTTCTAAACATTTAGACTAACCTAAAAGAATTCTGTGATTCTGTATGTCCTTATGCTATGCAGTGATAGCTTCCTTAATAGGCTGAAGATGATTTTGTGATTTATTTTATTTTGTTTGTAGTTCTTCCACAGATAAAGTGTAACACTGATTAGGTGGTTTCTCATAGGTGAGATACTATGATCATTTGACTGGCTGTGAGCAGTTCCATTATGACTTGTGTGTTCCTGCCATTTATTTCTATTTAATTTATTTCATCTTAGACTTTTTCTAGATACTCTTTTGAGCAAAACTCACAGTTTGATTTGTAGATGAACAGCTTGGCTCAGTATTTCCTAGTTTAGCTGTATTTGCTGCTTGTGGGATTCCTTTTGCTTTGTAAAGGTCCTGAAGGCACCTAAGATATTGCTGATACCATCAACACATTAGAGTGTGATAAGGCACCTTCAGGGCTGTATCTCACCTATGTATAACATACAGCTTAAGTTCTAGCCATTTGAATCCTTACTTATAACTTGTTTTGACATCTTCAGGGAAACAGCTTTTTCTTGTCCGGATGCCTGTCGTAGAAGAATGAAATCTGGGTTCATGGGACATAGTCGTTTTTGAGAAAGCCATAAAAAGCTTATGTGGAGAGGGCAGTTATTTGAAATACCTCTTGCTATTTTAAATGCCCTGAGCATTCTTGGAGTCCTGTCTGCTCTCTCTGTTATTTCAGAATTGAATTCTTTAAGTAGAAAGGAAAAACTGCTGCATATTCCCTCAAAGTAATTAGACAGCTTGATCTGAATGTTCTAACATTGTTCTTATGTCTTATGTTCATATGTTTTGCCTGCATTTTGTACTTATGAATGCACAGATGTGGGCAGGGGTGGACTTCCCAGGTTATGGGGAACCTAGTGTGCTGAAGCATCCTTGCCATGTGAGCAGGCAGGTGACGTTTTCTTGTTAGTAGCCTACAGATTATTTACAGAGCACTTGCTTGGGTAAGAGCAGGTGGGATGTATTATAATGAAACAGAGAAATACAAAATGAAGTATCGTCTTTTGTAAATAAGTAAAATAAGTTCTGCTTTGTGGTTAAGTAACGTTGAGCTTGGTAGCTTTGCAACAACAGCAATGGGTAAGAGCTTTGTAGTAAATGACAGTGAAGAAGTATCTTAGGTAAATGTTTTACAATAACCAGCTAGAACCGAACTAGTGTTTGCTGGCGAGACAATGGGACTTTCCAAACCTAAAGTTCAGCCAAAGGACGAAGTGAGGAAGAAGATGAGGAAGAAATGACCACCAGGGGTCCCAAAGACCACTACCATGTTATTGTACACATGTGGAAAGAATTTTCTAGAAATGTGGTGTCATTGATTACAGACCTAATGAATATATATAACATGTAATGATTATGTATGTTAATCAACAATATAAACACGGTTTGTTTGATGCTTGGAGGGGACACACTAGGAGGAGCTTGTCTCCCAGTGCTGCAATAAAGAATGCCTGCTTGTCAACTTAAACTTTGTTGGTGAGTTTTTGGAGTTTTTCTATGAATCGATAATCACTTCATGATCATAATTGTAGAAGTTGCAATTTCAGCAAACGTGTGATCATATTATTCTCTGAGTTTCCTTTTATTCTCCAAGTTTCTTTTGGTTCTACTTGGTCTATCTGAAACTTTCTTTTCTTTTGGTTTTTAGCTTTACGTTTCTTGGGACATGGTGTTTATTTTTTGTGCTTGAATCGCACATAGTGCTTTATTCACTTTCTACACCAATCTCAATTTTATAATGCAAGAAATCTTAGCAGATTGCAGGCAGAGTTTAATCTTGTCTTACTGAAGAGAAATCTGATTACGTTTCCTAGGAGCCACTTCTCCAAAGAATCTTTCTTATTATATATTTTCTTCAGAAGTAACCAGGTCTGCTCAGGCATCAGGCATTAAAAAGCTTTCCAACAGCATTAGGTCAAGGAAAAAATTAAACAAGCATTAAGTATGTGCACTCATTTGACACAAACCTTGCAAGTATGTTTCTCAGCCTAAAAATCACTAGACTGTATTTTACTTCACAGCGGAAAATAAAGGGGTTTTTAAATGACAGGTTTAAAAGATGCAGGGTTTTACTTTTTTTTAAAGAACATAGGTGCGTGTATGGAGTCTTTAGTACGAGAAATCTGAACAGAGTGAGTTTCTGATTATTTTCTTGAGGTGGAGAGAAATCTAGTGGGAAAACTGAGTCTGTTAAAGCTGAATAGAAAATATTCACGTAAAGTCCTCATTTTCTTCAGTTGCTAGAGAAAATAATTCTGCCTCTCATTCAGACTTTGAATGGCACTGTAAAGACTGAGGCTTTCTAGCACATTGCTGATGAAACTTTCTTATCAAAGCACTCTTACTGCAACATCTTCAATCAGCTGTTGCTGTGTATCTTCAACACTTGAGGACAAGCAATGTCCTACCTTCAGTCATTTGATTCAGCTTGATTTTTTGACAGCTGCCTAGTTAACTCAAGGGAGAGAGGAAAATTTTTTTGACTTTTTTACAGGTATGTGTTGGGACTCAGATTCTCTTTCTGTTGGGTTAAATAGTTTATGAGCACCTTAAGCTTGAAACAAATGCAGGCAAACTTACTAGGGAAGCTGATTTTGGTACACCTTAAAACCAGGACTGTCAAAATGTCTGTTCTGAAAGGTTTTGGAGTGGATGACCAGAGCAGGAAAAAGCTCCAGAACAGAAGCAGTGCAGTTCTTACTGAAGCCTCTTGGAAATTTATACTTTTTTTATCCAGATCACATGTAGCCCATTCAAGTGTTAGAAGTGCTGATCCTAGATGAGGGGACCACTTCCAGTTGCAGTAATGAGTGTGTTAAGAGTATATCTACACTCAGGAAGAATTCGCCAACCCTGACTCAGAGCAATTGCTGTGGCCTGTCCTTGTATGTGGTGCCACCAAGGCAGAGAACCATCAAATCAGCCTGATAGACTTGAAGTTTTCCATTTTAAGCAACAGCTAATTCCTTTAAAGTTAGATTAGTGAGCTGTTGATGAAAACAGTATGACAAGGCCAGTGGGAAATTGTCACTGGTCTTTATTCATCAGTACTGGGTATGTAATGTGGAGTTTCACAAGACTATAAGTTCATGCTATGTGTCTTTCCTTTTCTCCAATTTATTACAAAGACTGGAAACTTGAGATGCTGCTTGCTGAAGGAAATTATTGCTTTGCAGCTTGATGGACCTAGATCTTCAGGTGCCTTATTTTTTCCCAGAGCTCTGCTACTGCTAGATAATACTCTCTCCAGGGCACCAAAGGAGAAGTCAGTAACAGAGATATATTCTGTTGAATGTTGATGGTGCAGTGTGTGCTAAATTAGTGAAAATATAGCCTTGAGTTTCCCTAAGGATAGTTTGAGTGGGTATATGAAAGCATCTAAGCAAAATGTCAAATGGTGATCTGGATGCGTTCAAGAAAGGTCATGTGCATTGCCAACATAAAGTATTTGCATAGGGAATCGACCTGTGTGAGTGGGCATGACAGCGTGACTGTCTGCTACATTGTTTCATGAGTTGACTTTCATTTCCTAAATAGGTGAAATCTCTTAGTAATAAGTCTGGCTTATAAGACTTGTTAACCTTAGGGTGGAGTTGTCCACTCTCCTACATTGGTACTTTCTCATGTGCCATATATTCACCAGTCCTGCATGTTTAGTTTCACTCCATTACTTTTTCTTTTTTTCCTTTGACATAAGACTTGTGCAGGCCTCCTGTTCTTCTGTAAGGTATTTGTGGAGAGTGGCATGATGTAAGATAGGAAAATCTGTCTGTACATATCTGAAAATGTCCATTGTGAAATGGAAGTTTCAGCTGATATAATTTTCCTATCCTTGAAATAGCGACTGTCAAGCTTCTAAGCCTTATGTGTGCTGTGTTTTAATGAAAGTCCTTACATGCACTTCCTATTTTTCACTTTCTGTCATGATGGACAAAGTATTTGGTGCTGGAAAATAAAGCATGTGTTTGTGGTTTGGTTGTTTGGGTTTTATTTCCAATTATTTTTTTTTCCTCCCTATGTGTGCTCTGCAGTGTATGTCAGTGTTGAGCAATACTTGCAAATTCAGAGGAATAGTATGTTAGGGAAAGCCAAGATGCTGAGGTGCTAAGGAGCAGATACAGCATTTCTGAGACCCTGTGTGACAGGACAAGTAGCCTGAGGGAAATCCTTGAAGCTGAAACTAGATCAGAAAGAGAGGGAGTAAATGTGGAACTTGTCTGGCTTATGCATATGGCATGCAGAATAAAGGCAGAAAAAAGTGGCATTGGTTGCGGGAGGCTTCCTTTAGGAATTAACTGGACTTGAGGGAGGAAAAGATGGGCATCAGTGACTGAAGGACCTCTAAAATCCACTCACTGGATGAGGACCCACACAGATATAAAAAAACATGTGTCTGTTGTCAGGACTGTGGACAAGTTTGGGAACACTGAAGACCTAATGAATATAAGACTTGATTCTCCAGATTACTCAGTTGGCAGCAGGTTTCACTGCTGTTTACTGGAGAAGATTTGAGGTCTGTGTGTGCAATTAAGGACATAAGTGTGGTTGTTCTGTGCATGCCCTGAACCTCCTTCTTTCACTGGACCAAAGAGGAGAAAAGCTTTTCAGTTTAGCAGTTTGGAAGCTCTACCTTTATTTGCAAAGGACCCTTTCAAAAATTACTTGAAGAGTGTCTTTTTTGTAATTTGGCAGTGAATTACTTTTAAAAGCAATAGTTTGCTTGCCTAGACAGATAAAGTTTATATTATTTTTTAGATATTATATATGTATTAAAAATATGCATAGCTGCAATTTGAACAGGTTTGATGTTCTGTGAACAGTGGGGGTTTATTATTATTAAAACCTTTTGTGGGAAGTAAGAGATGTCAACTGACTGGATATTTGTGCTACATGGCAAGACTGCTGCCTGCATACTTACACTAACACACTATCATTGCAAAGTCATCTGTAATCCGTTTGTTATGATTACCTGTGAGATGTCAGAACAGCTTGTGCATGAATAACAGTACTCTATGACTATGTACTCATGACTGTGAGTATGCAGCTTGGTTTGTTAATTATCATTGCAGAGAAAATATGCTAAGATGATGAATCAGTTTGCCCTGTTAAATTCCTCTTTAGGATACTTACAAAATCTAGGGAAATAATAAATTTCGTTGTCTTTTCAACCATGTTTCTTACTAGTTAAAGCCTTGTAACAGAGAAGCCCTCTTACTGTATTCAGGAATTGCTTTAGTAACTTTAATTCTATGCTGTCTGTATGTGTGATTTTTCCTTTACAGATGGGAGATCCTTTGGTCCGAGGCACCTACAAAGGTGAATGGTCCTCAGGCACGGCAGTTCACACCTTGTATCAAACAGATAAACTTTCCCACAAACTTAATCCGACTGGAAGTGAACAGCTCTCTTCTGGACTATTACACTGAATTGGATGCAGTAGTACTACATGGTGTGAAAGAGAGACCTGTGCTTTCACTTAAGACTTCAATGATTGATATGAATGATATAGATGATGAGGAGGATGAAGAAAAGTATGGCTGTGGAATGGACACCCTGAATAAACAGTTCAGCATTGTTACCCTCAGGGAATGGCCAACTAACGGATATTTTGATAAACTGCCTTATGAGGTAAGAAGGCCATGTTTACACTGAATATATTTGTCTAGTTCCTTAAAGATATGTTACAGGGTACCAGTCAAGATTTTTTTTTCCAGTTCCCTGCATTCTTTTATGAGTCCCCTGCAGTTATTGTATAGTTATGCCTGAATTATGTAAGTTGATTTACTTCCATCCTGAAATAAGCTGGGTTTGCGCATAATGGAAAGAAACCTTCACCTGCTGATCAGACTTCTTGGCTTGGGCATAGGTGTGATTAATCCTGCTCTTCAGGATACTGCAGTCTGCCAGGAGAAGTGTTTGTTTACTGCAGTAACTCATCAGCTGCTCAGAGTGCTTGCGGCTCGAATCGGACTCACTTTGAAAGTGAAGGGAGGATAGTGAGAGATGCTGTCACTGATTGTAGGACACTTTCAGAAATGCATAATCAAATAGAATTTTGGTTTTGTCACATCTTTCGTCTCTAAGTACCCCAGTTTTGTACATGAAGGCCATGGTTAGGTGACTGTGTGCCCAAGTAACTTGCAGAAGTTTGCTGTGCTTGTAAAGAGAGAATATAACAACTCTGTCTTTCTCCTATGTGCGTCTTCTCATTCAAGTCTTCAGTTCTTGAGTTTGTTGTGTTGTTTTTTTTTTTGTTGCTGCAGTGGAATAATAAATGAGGATACTGCCTTCATCCTGAGTTAGCTCTAGTGGTGGTTTCTTTTTCCTCAGAGTCCATACAGTGTGCAACATTTTTACTGTTGGTGCTTGTATATCAGTACTGAAGTAAAGAAAGTACTTTGCCTATGCAAAGGCGCAGCTGATTCCAGAACATCTTAAAACATACAACTGTTTGAAAGTTTGAAAATATATTTGTTTTAGTCATTCAAAGAAGTTAATTTTAGAGAAAAACTTGATTTAAATCTAGGAAATCTTGTTTGAAAAGGCCGGATAAATTGGTTTATAACGTGCTAGACTATTAGAGAGATTGATTAATCTCTTGTCTGCCCACATGATTCCACGTATTAAGATTATAATTTAGGAAGTATTTTGTGGTCCTGTTACTCCTATAAACTTCTGTCTCCATGTATTTTATTGTGCTTTTCTGATTTTCTGTTTGTGTACTAGCTTCCTTTTTTATCCATTTTTTAACATGTTTGGTTTCATGAATGCATTTATATAGTCTGTCAATGCCAAGCACGTTGTTTTTTGGTGGTTTTTTTTTCAGCTTTGATTTAAAGAAACTGAAAATACAGATAGAAAATTTGTCAGAAAACTACAAAATACTATTTCTGGACTGGTTTTGTGAGAGCAGAAATCCCAGTCTCCTATTTTCTTGGTCCAGCTGGAAGGTTTGGGTATCAGAACAACAAAAGTGTTATACTTTGTAGTATGACAATTTTTTTTTATTATATCAGATATGGAAACACTGCTTTGCATGCTGGCTTCAAGACTGACAAGTGTCAGATTTTGCTGGGAAGTGTTCAAACCTTGTAGTGAAGAAGTAAGGCAACAACTGCTGACTCCTTCCAGTTTTGATTGATACATTACATGAAAAATTGTATCTTTTTAGATGTTCATGTTGATTGTGAACATGTAACTGTCCTAAGTCTTCCTACATATGCCTGTTTCTGATTTGAGCTGTTTCAGGCTTTTTCGTACTGCTGTCCATAATTCACCAAATACACAGGCTGAATGGTCTTCCATGCTAATTTTAAAGTAGATAGCAGTTCCTCCAGCCTTTGTTTTGTATTCATTGTCTTTCTGAAACATCCATAGACTATTCTTTCATAGACTGTGTTTTTTCTCAAAATGGCATTAGGAATGGCTTGCTGCAGTGTGAGCTCTACATTGCTCCTGCTCCAAAAGAGAAATGCTCGGCTCCTGAGGCACAGACTTCCTTAGAAGAAAGTATAAAATCTTGGGTGAGCTAGGGGAGAGAACTTTCCTTCCCTGCTCATGAACAGTGTTAATTAGCCCTTAGTAGCTTTAATGTGCTATCATCTGTTCTCCATAATTGCCTTAAAATTGAGGAGGGATTTTCCAGGACACGCTTCATTTTGTTGTGTTTCTTCCCAGATATCTTTGACTAACTTGTGCTGCTCTTAAAGTGGAAGGAGTAGGGCTTAGTCTTAGTTGGCTTTACAGAAGCCCTTGAGACCTGAAGGTCAGAACAAGTTAAAAACCTTTAAGAAAGGTGAGGAATACCTGCCAAAGCATAACTGTTGTGCAGTTTGAGACTCACCAAGATGTGGCATGTATGAAGAATTTAACTTCTGTTCTCCAGAGAGAAGGGTCAGAAGAAATCCTGTCTGCTGCAGTCCAAAAGACTTTTTTATATATATATAATTTTTTTAATATAAAAAAATACAAATAACATATTTATTGTTCCCCAAAGCCAGTTTTTTTCCGAAAGCTGCCTCAAGATTTTTGACCTGCTCATGTCAAAGGAAGTGAATTTCACAGCTAAATGTGGATTTGGCACCTATGTTGCAGGAAAATGGGTCTCGAATGTAAGATCTGCATCTCTTATGATACTTTGATAAAAGGCTCAGAGCAATAAGCAGGAGCATTTTTAAGTGTCATACACCTTTTTAACCTCAACCGTAAACTTCTTACATCTTTCTATATTTGTAGGCTTTCGGATAGCCAGCAAGATTTTATGCGTCCGTTTGGAAAGGGAAACTCATGAGGGTCCTTAAAAGCTAATAACCATATGCACAAGATTCCCTTCAGTTCATGGCCCATATACTACTGCCAGTTGCTATAGCAGAGTAGGCTCTGAGCAATGATGGCACATGGGAAAAGATCTCTCCAGCGTTAGTCCTCATGGAGTCTTGATTAATTGACTGTACAGTCTGTCAGTAAGATCTTTTTTTGTTCTTTGTATCAGGAAGGGGCTTAAAACCTTTACAGCCTTCCATTGCTGAGAGGGTCAGAGCCTACAGCCTTGTGATGTAAACCCCACTCCACAAAAGCATGCAATTGAATAGAATAAAGAAAAGAGAGACTTAAATGGTTGTTTTGTGAAGCAGTTGCAAGATACACTCTTCATGTATCCATGTGTACTATTGGATGTGTATGCATTTACTAGTGCACACTATAGGATCATGTAACTAGGGGCTGGGTTTTCTTAAACTACGTTGAGGAACGTCAGAAGCCCTAGAATGCCATCATCTTCTTCCTGTCTTCACTCTGCCTTTTTGTGCATATAACCTTTCTTCTTTATGAGTATGCCTTAGTATCAAGTCTGATTAATTGGAGTCTAAGCTGTGGCAGCTGTAGCTGCAGAAGTAAGAAATTGCAAGTCATTGATTCGCGTGTTTCCAAATGAATGGCTTGCAAAGGCCAATGTATTTTCATATTGGAAGGACTCACGCTGGAGAACTAAAAAGTGGCTGTTTGTGGAAAGTGCCAGTATTCTAGGTTTGACCAACATCCAGGCATCATTTTCTGACCAAATCAAGTTCTGCGTTACCGTGCTCTGGGCACAAAAAGTGCTTGCTGTTATTCAGAAAAAAAGCTTAAAAAAGCCAGAGAAACTTTTTGGTAGGTAAGTACCATTAGGAGTTACACCATTAGTAAAATTTTACCGAGTGTATTGAAGAGTGTGATGGAGATCCTTTCTGAGCTTATGAGCAAACTTTACACTGGGTGAGATGTCTGCGGTTTTCTTAAGAACTTATATTTTTTAATTGGTAGTTCAAAATGTATGCATATATGTAAGACGCTGCAATCAGGGACTATGGTGATAATAAGGCACAGATCAGATATGAATCAGAATCTTTTCTGTGCTCAAACAGCAATGAATTTGCATACTGCTGTTGGTTGAATTGTAGAGAATTGTGATTTGGAAACCTTTCAGGTTTTGGAGGTTTTCGAGGTAGTGGATCTTGGTCTCACCACATCTCTAAAGCTGGCATGCTCCGTGTTTGCCCTGGAAACAGGAAAGAAAGTTGTTTTGGTCCATCACAGCCTCAAAAAGTGATGTATAAATTCTGTTTTGTTTTCTTCTGCACACTCTGTTGTATTTTTTCCATTAATCTTTGTTTTTACTGATTTATAAGAAAGTGTAAATAATGCTTGCCATAATTTTTCATAAATGCAAGTGAAAACAGTTGTTCGTGAGAAACTGTGTTACAAAAGTAGTTTTTGAAGCAGATACTCAATTCTGTAGCATTCTTTGTATCACCATGAACACGGTGTAGCACAGTACAGCACGTCATGTCACATACTCATTAAGGTGTCAAATTGTACTTTGTGGTAGGATATACATACATAAAAAATGAATTTGACAGACACCAGACTAAGGGTGATTAATGGCTACTAGCCTGTAGGTTTGGTACTTTGTTTAATCAAAAGCCAGAAAAAAAGTACTTTACATAGTAATGTCACAGTACTGTAATTTAATTGTATTTTTTCATTATAGATACTGTGAAGTAGTATAATTTTAGTAAAAAAGGATTATTTTTTTTCTGATCAAGACATTCATGTGGAAGGGATTTCGTCTCAGGGTGTAGAAAGATTGCAACATTCTGTATGTTATGAAATACTCACTGAAGTGTAAAGGGACATTGGTGATGCGTTTATAATTTCATTCACCATTATCTTTACTGCTCAAAAGTTACAAAGTAACTTTTTTTGCCACTGAACAAAATTTGTATTACTTTGTTTCTATCAGGCATTATTTTACTGCATTAGTCATAGACATAAATTTAGCTAATTTGGCAGCCTTTGCTGAGCTCTCTGCTCTAGAAAACTTATTACATAAGCACAGGAAAAGTCTGAGGGAAAAGACCATTCATAAATATTTGGGTGTTTTATAGAGTATGGAATAGCTGAAAGATTGCAAGAATTTAAAGCTGTCTTTCAGAATATTGCAGATAATTTGAAGTTAATTGATGGCCTTAGAAAAATAGGTATGTGTTTGGGTATCTACTGTTAGGATGACAGACAAAACTGTACATAGCAACCTTTAAGCTTAAGTATGGGCTTTAGACAACCAAAAATCAAGATACTAATTTGGGATTGTATCTGTTAGCTCCATGTTATTTTGCACTTTCTCAGATATCAAAATGCCGACAACCTAAATGTCAATTGGCAGCAAACTTTTTTGATTAATATGTCAACTTCATTTATTATATGTGGATATATATTTTATATATATATGTATGTATATATTGCTGTCACATTGAAATGTCTATGCAGATCTTTTGCATCAAGCTAAGGTGAGAGTTTCAGGCACCTGCAGAGACAAAAAAGTCTGGTTTTAGGTGAAAGTTGGAGTAAGGAGAAGGGAAGACTTGAAATTAGGCTGGAGAGAAACTGGAGTATATGCATTTTGGCGTTGGAGTTGAAGTTAAATTTTTTGAGGAGTTGTAGATAGTGTTTGAAATCTAAATACTAAATCTGGAGCTGAGTAGGAAGTAGCATTTTTCATTTTGCAGGAAGTTGGATTGTTTTCTTATTTCTTCTATTCCAAAAATGAAAGGGGGAGGAGGGGAGGCGGAAGCTAACTGCATAATAAACTGGTTCATTGGAAGTACAGTCTGTTTGCATCTCACAAGAAGATTCATTTTCATTTTATATCAGGCATTTTATTCTGGCTTTGAGTGGTTTGTCTTATGAATGCTTGTAAAGACATCAAACTAAAACATGGTATTTTGAAAGGGCCACAGGATTCCAGTTTAAGCTGATTTGAGGGTTTGTTTGTGTTGATGGGGGTTGGTGTGTGGTGGTGGGTTTTTTTGTTTTTTGTTTGGGGGGGTTTGTTTTTTTTTTTTATTTACACTGATTCATGTCAATGAGTTATCATTTCCCACTCTGCTTGAGAACACTTCACCAATTTTAGTTACATAACTTTGGTGCAGGTACTTATAGCTGTTGAAGACAGCTCTGGTAAAGTAAACATTAATTTTTAGATCTCATTTTTCAAGCACACTTTCCTCTCAACTCCTAATCTAAAGGAGATTTTTTTGCTGAGTGTTTTTGTTATTTCCTGATGTGAGTATATATGTGTCTGTGTTTGTTGATCTTCCCTTGGAAAGGAAAACAGGACGTGATAAGAGACGGGATATTTCTTGATTTCTGAGTTGGAGATAAGTCATTACAAAAACATGTATAGCGGTGCTAGTCGGAAGGGCTGGTGGTTATTCTGAAACTGATTCAATCTGATACAGGTAAAAAAGCGCTTTGCCTTTCAGATTTGACTTTGGCGTAGAACAAAAGTGCTCTCCAAGTATTACAGCAAGGAAGAGATTACTTTGTAAAAGATCTGAAAATGTTGAATTTTTTCACCTAGTTGCATAGTCCAGCATGGATGGGAGAGGATATAAGGTAGAAAACAAAATACTGGGTTTGTTTTGTTTTGTTTTGTTTTTTTAAGCTAGGAGCAGAGGAATAAATCTGAAATCATTTCAAGGTGTGGGGAAACTGGGACATGGTATTGTTTTTCCATGTACTCTGCAAATGTGCTGCCATTTTAAAAAACGAATCCACAGAAGAAAGAAAATTCAGTGTTCTGATCAACAGTAGTGCAGACATTGTGAAGGGAAATATGTAAACATAGTGTTTACATATATATCACTGTTTAAATTAGCATGGGTAAAGAAACTTTTAATTTGAAAGCTTCCTGTCACTTTCATACGTTGATCTGCTTTTTCCTTTCTTGTTTAATGTCATCAAATTGAGAAGGCAGTGCAGTCCTATTTAATAGTTAATCAATGATTTATTCATGTTACTTTTAAGTAAAAGGGTTTACTTTTCTTTGAAGCCAGAACATCTTTTCTTAATTCTTTTTGGTTTTCTCTTAACATTTCAAGTGCTGTATGACCATCTGTGACTTTTTTTTGTTTTTAATATAGCTCATCCAGTTGATTTTGAGTCATCTTACAGTACCAGACCTGTGTAGACTAGCGCAAACTTGTAAGCTACTATATCAACATTGCTGTGATCCTCTACAGTACATTCATCTCAGTTTACAACCTTACTGGGCAAGGATTAATGACACATCTCTGGAATACCTGCAGTCTCGTTGCACTCTCATCCAATGGCTGAATTTATCTTGGACTGGGAACAGGGGAGCCATCTCTGTTTCTGGATTTAGCAGGTCAGTGCTAAATGTACAGAAGTATTTTGATAAGCTTTGTTTGCAGAGCTGCTGCACAGTAGTTCTGCTAAGTATCTGAAACAGTATTAAAAGACAAAAAATGTTTGATTTGCTATAAAAGGTGTGATTGTTATGATATAGGAAAAGACAAGAGCTAAACCAGTAAGAGATTCTGGATACAGCAGCTGAAGTGCATTTCCATATGTAGAGTCTGCATGTGCCAAACCACCTGTGACTGAAAGGCTTTTTCCAAGGGGGAGCAGTGTTTTGCTTTCTTCTGGGCTTCTAAAAAACTCCACTAGAACCAAGCTGTCCAAAAGTCTATCTCAGAAAGAAAATATGGTTGTTTTTTGTACAGATGAGTCATCAGTAGGACTGTATTAGAATGGTGCAGTAATAAACTGCATGTTTACAAGGTGTGGGCCCTAAGTAATCACTGGAGTGCAATGTAAGTGCAAATATTTTCATAAAAATGATTTAAAACATTAGTCCTGTTGGGAAATGGGGGGTTTGCTTGTGCATCTTCCATTGAGCTGACTGTGCTTTAGGTCATTAAAATAGCAAATTCACAGGGAATCTTCTCTGTATAACAGCCGTGTTCTCTGCTTTCTTAAGATATCGTTTCTTGCTTCTTTGCTCATTTGCATTAGTTAAACAACATCTATCAAAGCATTTCATTTAAGCAAAAATTGCTGCTTCAACTAAGAGGTAATCAGCAGTGGCAGGTGAAAGCAGAACTTGACTGATAAGAAACAGAAATGTTTAATATATATTTAAAAAAAAATTGTCTTAGCTCTCATTTGTTTTCTGAATAAAAGGTTAAATCAAGTTTTCAGACTTTTGATTTTCTTTGCCGGGGTGCCTTCCCTGGGGAAGCAAAATAATTTGAAGAAATACTTTGTTGGGATGAGAATGTTGCTTTCCTGACCTTCCAGCTCATAATCCAGGAGCCCTAAGATCTTTTGTGATTGTTGGTAGGAAAAGGAGGCAGCCACCAGCTAGTCGTTAAATGGGATAAAATAGATAGGCACCAGCTAGCTGTTAAATGGGGTACAAGCATTTCTCCTAAATTTGGATTTCATATTAGATACATTATGCAGATCATAAATATGCAAGCTTTAATTGAGAATTCATCTCTGAAATCACAAAGTACTTGCTTTCTGATGCTTAGCTATTAAATTTGTGTTTTGAACATTTAAAATATGTGCATCTTCATGGCATGTTTTTAAATTTTTGGGTTATTTTGGTTTTGACCATGCAGGTTTTCAAATAAATGAATTTCCAAACTCAGAGAATTATAAGCTTTGCAGTTCTGGCATTTCTGACTTCCAGTTAGTTGAAAAAAACTTTATTGCTAAAGGACTGAAAAATAGTGCTGAACTCATAGCAGCACTTACGTGTAGTCAACATTTTTAAAATGATAGGTAGTCATTCTTTTACTATTAATAACCAGTGAATAAACATGGTCAATTTATATTCATTATAATGGTGATATTTATTTGTAACAAAGTGTTCTTGGCCGTTGATACAATTGTGAAGTTATCTGTATTTCTAGGAAAAAGTATTTCTTGGAAGAGCTGTGCAGTCTGGGAATGGGAATTGCAGTTCAATCATAGATTTTTGAAACAAAGTTGTAAGCAAAATAGTTTTCAGGTGTGACTTCTCAGAATTTTAACTTCTGAATCAAAAATTCTCCACTGTAACTAGGCTTGGTTTTGAAAGTTTTCTTTTTCCTTATACAGAAATAGTTTTGCAACTCTTTGTTCTGTAGAAGTGTCTTTTCTAGTAAAATTTCCAAACACAAATTTTCCTTTGGGTATATGTTTGTTGAATTTGCTAGCTTCCAAGAAAGGAAAATTTGCTGGTCATTGCTTTCAAATATGTGTTAATACAGGAGACCTCTTAGAACAACACTTGCTTTTCAAAAGCATTCATGTGACTTTCTTCAAAGAAGTAGCTTCCTGGCAAGAGATGGTGTTCCTCAAAGGAGAAATCTGGCAAGTAATGTTTAGTTCTCTTGCCCTGACTTTCATCAAGATGCCATCACCATGTGGATATTGCAGCATCCAGAACATGTAGTCATGAAATCCCATAATTTTTTTTTGAACTTCTAGATGTTCCTCACCCAGCCTCACTTTTGGGAGGTATTACACAAAACAGAGTTTCCAAAGAACGGAGGTACTTTGACTTTCTTAGGAGTTCTGTTTCATAATTAAAATTTTTTTTCAGTTTATTCTTCAGCATATGAGTATTGCAGATGATGCTCTCAGCTGGCTAGGGAGGGTACATTGCTGCTTTTATCAGTTACCTGCTGATGTTAACTGGTACTAAAAACTTAATCTGTAATTGTCCTTTGCAGAAATTAAATACTTATATATTTCTGTCTCTCTACATAACAGTAGAAGACAAGTACCCCTACGTTTATTAGTGTAAAATATTCTCTTGCTGCCTACTGCATGACTGTTTCTGAATCAGCTTGTTGGTTTCTCTTTATCCTGCTCTTCTTGGCTTCCTCTCTGGTCTTGGTATTTTCTGTTTCTTTCTGCAAAGGAAATTTCTAAATAAAGCTGATAGCATACCAAGCTGCATCTTTTATTCTGGATTTAATTGGTGAAAAAGCCCTCTCATAACTTGAGGTTGAGTTGAAACAAGCCTAAATTGCTTGTTCCAGTACTTCAGGTTTATCCAATTTGTGTTAAATTGCTGCATAAGCAGCCAGGAGCGGCTGCCAAGAGAATTCTGCCTAGAAGTTCTAACAGTTTGAAGGGCTCTATTATGCTGTTTTTAAAAGCCCCACCTGTATTGGTCCGTTCAGGGAGAAAAAACATTGTTTGCTAAGTGACATTTGTAAATAACTTCACAAACACTACACATTATGGCAGTATAGAAATTGCAAGATGCTAAAACCAAAATACCTTATCCTCATAGATAACAGCATTTCACTTTACAGGACCTGGGTTTTTTTGTTTATTTTTGCACTTTTTTTCAGCATTTGGTGTTACAGTTGGCACTGTTGAATTCAAAACTGGTAAAGTTAGTTTCATTCTTACAACTGTACAATTTAGGTTAATATTTCTGCAAGTCAGCTCATGTTTAAATGCTAGTATTACTTGAATTTTATTTTGGCAAATACCTTTCCAAGCTGTTTTTATCTGTGGTTTCAAAAGAAGTAGCTTGTGTAAATTTGTGTGTTCCTTTTAAAGGTATATATAGACATGATTGTAAAAAATAGTTGAAAGTATATATTTTCTTGCAGAAAGATATTAAAATAGATTTTTTTTTTCAAAAAAAGTAATTTTAAGACTGAAGCTAATACTGTATAATCATGAGAAGATAGAATGCTTCAGGCATATGAACATCCCGAGGCAAAGCTGAAGGTATTTTAAGTTATTGATAACATCTACTCCTCAGGGCTAAAAATGACTACTGTAAATTTTTCATTTCAGCGTATAATATAAATTAACTAAATTTTAGCATTTGGATTGAACTAAAAGTGCATGGAAAAGTCAAAGACAAATGAAGTTGAGTATCTGAGCAGTCTCAAGTGTCTGGAATGCAATGTGACAGGGAATAGCAAAGATTTCACAGCAAGTGTTACATAAGCAGCGCTGCATTTCTCTTGGCGTTAGAGGTACAGTGATTTTCTTCCTGCCAGAAGAGTATCAGTGTGGGAGGGTAAGACCTATATAAGAAAAGTGTGGCAAGTTGACTGAAGGTGTACTGAGTATCAAGATGATGAATACATGTTCTGAGGTTTAAACAGCTCAAGGACCATGACAGATTCTGCATGCAGATTTCTTTCTGTCGCTGATTATGTCATTAGCTTGTTTAAACTCTTTTGCTTAAATATCTGAAGTATTAAGATTTTTATCATTTCTAACATTTTATACTGTGAAAAGGCATTGATAGTGTTTTATTTTCAAGTTAGTCATACAGTGTTTGCATGTCAAGCACATCCAGGAATACTTATTCAGCAATTTTGTTGTTAACATTTGAAGGCTTTAGGTGCTGTTTAATAGAGGTGTATTTTGACAATGTTTAACTTGGTGAGGCTTGCTGTGAATCAGGCTAGCAGGAAGGTCAGAGAAATTACTGAAACATGCATCAAATAGTCACAGAAAAATAGGAATAATGTCTGATTCTTAATTTAAGAACCATGTCTGTGTCTTGCTTTAATTTCCACAGCTTTTTAGTAAAACCTAGAGTTGCTGTAACTGAGATTAAGTGATCATGTTTGTTTTGCATGATTTATTAAAATGTTTCATCTGTGTTGAGAAAAGCACAAGATCATGTAGTTAATATTCACCCCGCTTGCATGTAATGTTTTAAGGTTGGTTGACAGTGTAATACATGCTAGAGTGGAAAATAACATTGTAACGATTAGAATAGCTTACATTGAGGGGGACTTCTTGCAAGGGCATGTAGTGACAGGAAAAGGGGGAATGACTTTAAGCTGACAGAGGAGAATGGCTTTTAGCTGACTGAAGGGAGGTCTAGGTTAGACATTAGGAAGAAGTTCTTCCCTGTCGGGGTAGTGAGACACTGAAACAGGTTGCCCAGAAAAGCTGTGGCTGCCCCATCCCTGGAGATGTTGAAACTATGTTGGATGGTGGCAGGGGGGGTTGGAACTAGGTGATCTTTAAGGTCCTTTCCAACCAAACCATTCTACGATTCTGTAAGGTAACAAACACTACAAAGGAAAGTGCTAAAGAGAAAAAATCTATCCATCCCTGTAATAAATGGAAATTGCTTCCTGTCTCTGCCACGCCAAATGCAGTGGTTTATATGTCAGTGACTACAAAATGAGTATATAACATTTTAATTGAAAATAGATTTGATAAAATCAGAATGATTGAAAACTGGTGGGATAATTATATTAAAGGAGTACAATTATACAAAGTAGCTATTTCTGTTTAGGAAGATTAGTAGATGAGGGAGAACTGGACTGATCCCTGCTTGTTGAAGCATTTTCAGTAACCTTGAGCCATGGGATATTGACTAAGTGAAGATCATTAAGCTAACAGTGAAGTCTAGGTTTTGGATCCATGCAGTTCCATTAGAAATCGTTGGAGCAAATGTGGTGTGTTTAGCACCCTCACAAGCATGTGTCTAAAGGTATTTTGGGAATTCTGTTTAGGAGGTCTTATGCAGCCAGTTCTGACATGAAGGGTGCTATCTCTTACCTTGGTATTTTAATTTTGGATCATGTTTGGCTCATGCAGTATGCTTAGACATGAATTACAAGATTGGAATTTGTTAATAGACTAACCCTACGGTCAAGGGGGTTTATCATGACCATGACCAAACAGTGTCTTAACTCCTAATAGATATATTTGATGTTTTAGAAAGATTTCAGTAGGACTAACTTACTTCCCTGAAGTTGGGGGTAGTGGGGAGGAAGAATGAGCAGCAGTTCTTAAAAGCAGGTAGAAGGTGATGGAAAGTGAGATTAATTTTTTATTTTTTATTTTTTCATTAAAAACAAACCCCCCCAAACAAATAAAAACAACCACCACAGTTCCTCAAAAAAAACCAAACCCAAACCCATCAAACACCCAAGACTCTTGAAATACTGCAGTCTGGAATGAGGACAGACTTTGAGGGAAAGGCCCAATCTTTGCTAGTGTCTAGCAAAATAGATGTGCATGTTCCCATTAGTTTAGGTTGTTTAGTTGTATTTCATAACAAACATGAAGGGAAATAACTTCAGAAATTGTGTGTATAAAATATTGATTAAAAAAAAACTAAAGGGATGGATGATTGTGCAGAAAGGAATAGAGACTAAAAACAGGAACCAGTCAATCTTCAGTGATTAAAGAAGTATGTGAAGAAATGTTGATTTGGGTAGAAGGTACTTTTTGGGAGGTTGGTTGTTTACCAATGAGCTAAGTCAGAGAGGCACGCAGCGTCTGGTAAGTCTCAGTAGTGTGAAAACCATGCCACATTTGTTCTGAAAGCATGAGAACCAATGTTCTACTTTGCCATGTGGTTTTGGATATCCATGTAGAAAGACATCAGCAAAAATCTCTGTCCTGAGCAGCCTGTTTAGTGCAAACGAAGACTGGGATCTCTGGATCATTCAGAAAACTCTGCAATTCTGCCCGATATTCTCTGCTCTGTGCTTACTGGTGACTTGCTCAAATTCCTCCTTTTGTTTCCGTGCATCTTTATTCATGTCTGTCAGCTCATTCTTGTACCCTTTTCCATGTCCCTTACACCCTTGCCTCTGTGTTAAATGTCTCCTAAATAACCTTTCCCAAAAAGGCAGCAAAGTCATGAAGTGCAGCACTCATTGCTGTTGCTGTGTATGCTCTGCCTGTGTGTTTCAAGTGTAATGAATTAAAATAAAATGTTATAAGAATAGTAATTTTTCAGGCTGGTGAGCCTAGAGTTCTTCTCTGAGTCTAGGGAGGTAACTGGGTGTACTGACCTGGTAATGTTAACTTTTAATAGTCCTAGAAGGAGAAAAATGTTGATCTGTACGAACATTTGTAACAGCAAAGCCCTGTTAAATTGCATGGCAGTTAACCTAACATCCATTATTGTAATGGAGTAATTCATAAAATATTTATCTGTTAGCAAATTAAAAGCTAGAGGTATAATAAGTGATGACTGACAAGGTTTTATGGAAAATATCACCATACAAACAAACCTGATAATTTATTGATGAAAGAAGCTGTGTTAATATATTGTTAAAATACCCGTTAAATAGAAGAATTGGCTAATTGGTAATCAGCAATGAGTCTGTATGTCTCTATGTCTCTGTCTTGATTTCCATGGGATTTTGATCTTGTGTTTCTCCGTGGCGGTGCTGAACTCTACACTGCTATTTTAGACTAGCAATAATGTTTAAATACCTGATGTTAATGTTGTGAATTGTCGTCATTTCAGCTTTGACACTCCCGTAAGAAGGCTTACCAGTCTAGGTAAACTCACTGTACTCAGGATTGATTTGCAGTTTGATTGATTTACAGTTTGTGATTGATTTACAGTTTGAAGGTTATCTTTGCAATAAAAAGGAACAAGCTTATGTGTGTGTAATTAAAGCTTGGATTAGATACAGTAGAGTTTGTATTCGTGACACGATCTCTGACAGTATAATTCATGCACAGACCATCAGTTTCCAAAATTTTGGATATTTTGTCTTTCAGTATCTTAGTTTTTTTATAATTCCAGTGAAAGTCATGTGGAATAACCCTTAGGAATCTCTGTGTCTTAGAACAGCTACAAAGTGTTGATTTTGACTTATTTGTTAATGAAGGGAACAGGATATTTGTCTTAACAGTCTTAAAACACTTCTCTTGAATGTTTTAATTTAAAAGTGTTTGTTTAACCTCATTTTTACTTTTGCAGATTTTTCTGAGGTAAGTATGAGATTATTGTTGGAAACCTGCAGGCCATTGGCTTTGAGGAACTGTTTTAAAACCATTTCAGACATTATCTGTGTTGTACTTTGCTCCATTGTCTCAGAATAAACACCAGGAATGAAGCATTTTCTGACTTTCTAAACTGAAACAGGGTTTTCAAGACTAACATTAGTGTCATAAAAATCCCTTTCTGTACTGTTTTCACCCCTGATGATTCTTTTGCAGTTTATTTTCAAAGTAGAATTGTTTCCTTAAGACTGCTTTAGTGACGTTAGCCTCCTTATGCCATGTACAGCATTATATACCCTTCTGCAGTAAAATATTCTTTTGTACAAAATACTGTATAATATCTAGGTTATGTACAGTATCAAGTTAATGTTGGTGATACAGTCTTGACTGACTTTGAGTTTTTAACATTGCTCTCTAACTCAACACACCTAATTGTTTTGGTCTCTTCTGGATTTGTAGAGATTTGATTCAAAAGTAACTTCTTCAGAGAGCTTGTGATTAATTTACTTTGACCTAATCATGTTTTCTGTTAATTAACTGAGGTGATACAAGAGCTGTGGTCAGTAATCCTTTCATTATTGAAAGGAACTGTTTCCTGGTTTAGATGCTTAGAGTCTGAATACTGTTAAAACTTCACCTGAAAGTGTTTGTTTTTCACTTAAAATATGGGGTTTTTTTACAGGTTCTTGAAAGTTTGTGGCTCTGAACTAATACGTCTTGAGCTGTCCTGTGGCCATTTCCTCAATGAAACATGCTTGGAGGTCATTACTGAAATGTGTCCCAATCTTCAGGAATTAAATCTCTCATCATGTGATAAAATACCACCTCAGGCTTTCAACCACATAGCCAAAGTGGGCAGCCTAAAGCGTCTCATTCTCTATCGAACAAAGGTGGAGGTAGGAACAAGTATTTTAACCTTTGCAATAAATACTTTCAGTCGGGTTAAGTTGTATTTATTTTTTTTTCTTTGTTAATTAAGAAGTGATTTAGAATTTTGCATTCCAAGGTAAATTCAGAAAACTCAAAGGTAGTTTCAAGAAACAGGACTTTTTTTATTTTCAAAATAGTTTCCGGGTTTAAAAAAAAAAAAACAAACAAAACAAAAACCCACAAAAAAAGGTCTGCATGTTTTAACTTGTTTAAGTTGCGTGAGAGAGCAGTGACTTTTCACCAGCTGTTTTAAGGAATATAGTAAAATCACAGATCTGAAAGCTTTTCTCTTTTATGTTTGGTTTGTTTGTGTTTTTTTTTTAAGTATACTTCAGACAGGATGTATTTGGCAATATAATTGGGAAATGATCATGTTTAGTAACTTCAATTCTCAACATTCTGTCCTTTAGAACGACTTGTTACTTGACACTGGATGCCTAGTGTCTTCATATATTAGGAGCGTTTGAGACATGAAACACAGGTTTTTTTAAATACTTTTCATTTACAGAGTAAAAATGACTTCTTTGTACAATTATTCCACTGCTTGAATCAACATTATTATTGTTTGCTGCAACACATTTCCTAGCTGAGATGGAATGGTTTTACATACTACAGTTGAGAAGACTGTTTTACTTTACTTCATTTTACAAATGTTGTATTCTAGTAAATTCAGTAGATTGAATCAGAAGCAATTCCATTCCTTCTCGCTAGCTACATTACTCATGTATTATAACCTTCCTGCTCTGGTTTACATGGAAGCTCTCATGTTTGTGCTTCTCTTGTTGCAAAAGCTATTGCTTAGTAGAACGCCAGAATGGAGGGGAAAAAGCCCATGTTTCTGCAGGCTAGCTTTTAGTTCTAGGTTAAACTTTTTAAGAGGAGTTCACTTGTGTGTGTTATTTCTGCTTATGATTTTGGTAGACAGTAGTAAAGTTATGACACTGGATTGTGTGAGGTGTTATCCTGCAGAATAATAGAAGAACTGAAGCTGGAACAGTAGGTTCTGTCTACTAGATGTCCAAGGCATCCGAGTTAGGATACCTTATTTTCATTTACCATCTGTGATGGTAATTTGGTAATGCAAGGTAGTTAAAGGACAGACTATCTGGAATGATTGGCATTTGCTGTGGGGTATGTAGGCAGTCACCATGAAGCCAGTACCCCTCAATAACTTGTACTTTGTGGTAGTTGCTCCGTATATTGAAGCAATTATCATTTTCTTTAAACTCAAAAATAAATTGGTGAGCCCTGCTTTCAAGTGCCTTTTTGACAGAGCTGAATCAGTACTTTGAGTGTATCTGTTCTGTTTCTATATCATTAGTCTCTCTGTAAATCTTTGACAAATCCACTTACCTCATTTTGACTGTGAGCTCTAATTCAAAAAGCTTTTTGAGATCCAAGGAAGATCATTGTATCAGAGGTAATGATTGTATAATTTCAAATTATTTTCCCCTACTGTAGATTGATCATAATCTTCTTGATTCTGCTCAGGTAACTTCTAAAGTTTGAGACTTCATGCTTGTAATAGTGCAGCAGCTGAGGTGTACTCCAGAAATCATAGAATCACAGAATAGTTAGGGTTGGAAAGGACCTTAAGATCATCTAGTTCCAAACCCCCTGCCATGGGCAGGGACACCTCACACTAAACCATCTCACCCAAGGCTTCGTTCAACCTGGCCTTGAGCACTGCCAGGGGTGGAGCATTCGCAACCTCCCTGGGCAACCCATTCCAGTGCCTCACCACCCTAACAGTAAAGAACTTCTTCCTTATATCCAATCTAAACTTCCCCTGTTTAAGTTTTAACCCATTACCCCATGTCCTGTCACTACAGTCCCTAATAAAGAGTTCCTCCCCAGCATCCTTATAGGCCCCCCTTCAGATACTGGAAGGCTGCTATGAGGTCTTCACGCAGCCTTCTCTTCTCCAGGCTGAACAGCCCCAACTGATTGGTAATGATTGGTAACTGTTATGTCTCAGATATCACTTTGCTGAACAGAGCTTGAAATTAGACTGAATGTAGGTCTGACTTTAAGCCCTTAAATTGTGAAGATTCATTTCTGTCTTTTGTGTGTATGGACATGCATCTGCTTGTAGCTGACAGGAACATTCATTCATAATCAAGCTTACTTAGGATTGCCCTTCCATTTTATATACAAGTGTAAACAAAAGGCACTGTTTCTGACAAGCCATGGAAGAGAAATTTCTAGAAGTTTAAACAGGTAAAACTTAACAATGTACATTGTGAATCCCAGGGGGAAGAGTAAACAGGAAAGATGTAGTATAGGATTTGAATTAGAGGATTAGAGTTACAGAAGTCACAGATTTGTAGAAATAACATTGCTTTTCCCAACATTAGCTTCTCTTGATGCAAGCCTTTAGTTTTCTATACAAAATAGGCTATCATTCGTTCTGTACTCTTCAGCTGGTGCAGAGGTGCTAGGTAGTAAGTGGTGGCTAGATGCAAAAAAGACAGTATAGATTGATCAAGCATGCTCTGAAGTGATTTACAGTTCTTTAAAACTTGTCAAAGAACTGTAACACAGCTGTGTTCTTGATTTTTGTGAAATTTCTGCTACTGCTGCGTCTTCATTACTGATGCTGCTGAGAAGCAAACAGTGGAGCAATGCTAATGCTTAATCTAGAGCTTGGCATTGTACTGTTGCCAACTGGACCTGCTCAGAGAAAAGAATATGAGGCCATGAATCTGCTAAGGAAAACTAACTGCTAACAAGTATGTGACTATTAAGCAAAAGTCAGAAGGTGGGAAAACCAGAGCTGATGTGTGTTATGGACCTCTGTTAAAGTTCTGTCTCTGTTATATGAGAGTTGCTTGTTATATTAGCTGGGGGGGGGGGGTGGGGGTGTTAATAAGTTTTGTATTTAAAAATATTCCCATTGCCTTTGTAATCAAAGCTTCAATTTTTAAATTTCTATTTTTAGTGAAATGAGCAATTATGATATTCTGCTACTTACTGCACTGCATTACTATTTTGAAAGATAGCTGTACCATCTGGAGGAGTTTCTGGTCTCTTTGGTCCTAACCTTGCTGGTTCTTAAGGCCGTATATAATGTTATTTCCTTGACTTACTGAGTGCAAGTTTCTGTGTACAAAATCGGTTTCAAACCTCTTAATTGAAGCTTCCAATGCCCTTGAATTATTCCAGCCTCTGTGTTACAAGAAGAGAAGTCCAGTGACTTTCAGTAACTTGTTCCAGGATGAACAAGGAAAAAAAAATAATAAATTGTCTGCATTGCTATCTTCCTCCCCACAAAGTGCAGCTCATTTTTCCAATGCTTTATTTCATTGTTAAAAGCGTCATTCTTAAGGGTTGTTTGATTATGTGTATGCTTGAAATAATTTATAACTTGCTTTGAGAAACTAATCTCGGCATTTTATAAATGTAACTTTTGCTAGTTCAACACCACTATTATAGACGTTGGATTTTTGTGCTGGTGGTTTTGGTATTTACTGATACATGACTCCTTAATATTTATTCATTGAGAATGTATTCACGGCATAATTTAAGCATTTATTGGCATTGATACATTTGAAGTAAACAATGAACAATGGAAGTATTATTGTGTACAGTAATTGGCTATGCACATCTTTATGGTTTGTGTATGAATATTATCTTGATTCAATGCTTATCATGAAGTATTCCATTCATATAAATAATGCAGCTAAAATTGCATTTTAAAGAAACCAAAGCCACAATTACAGTAGGAGAACTTGACAGTCTCCTTATTTCTGGATTTAAGTTTTAATGTGAAATTACGTATTTCATCTTGCATGATATTCTAGATTCTTGATAATGTGTGAAGAAAAGGTTTTTAAAGTTTGTATTACGATTGTAATTGAAATACAGAATGAACTAAATTTAAATCAAATTACAGTGGTCAAAGGACTTTGCGCACACATTTTAAAGCAAGTGTTGTGTTATAAATTATCTCTGATAACTTTAACCAAGAGCAAATTTGGAACTTGGGTAACTTTAACAGAGGACACTGGAAATCTTAAGATACCAAGAAGAGGCATAAGAATCTTAACAGTAATTATAACAACAGTTCTTATTTTCTTATGCCATTAACAATGAAAGAGTTAATGTTGCCATAAAATTTTTCTGCCATTTTCAGAAATAACCTGTTATGGGTCATGTTATACTTCTGAGAGCTATTGTCTGAGGTTTTTCAGCTTGGACAGAATTTCATTGGCTTGGGTACAAATCTTTAGGATTAAGAGTTGCAAGCAACTAGTGGAGGAAAAAAAAAAGGTGAAAGCCTGTAGCTATAAAGTGAAACCTCCTTGGAAGGAGGTTGAGCCCATGGGGAATAATTTTGCAGTACAGGGCCCTGATGGTGCCTTCTGATCCTGTGTCAGGCTCATAGGGCTGAATTTGGTCATTTGAGCCTGTAGTGCGAAGAGGGGAAAGAGCAAGGATGTGAAACAGATTTGCAGGCATAAGCAGGGGCATAATTTGACCAAATGAAGCAAAACCAAAATACAGTAATTGAATTAACTACAGAGACTACCACTTTCATTGAATTAGTTCAGTAATTGCCATGTTGCTGTATCTCAGTCTCTGCTATGTCCCTAGCACTGTCAAGTAGCTGTAGAGAACAAAAAGGTGCCCCTGTATATCCTGACTCCCAGCTTGCAAATGACACTGCACCTATTTGTGAGGAGGCAAGTGTTTTGACTTTTTAGAAGCTACATCTGCACTCATTATTAATAAGATTCATTTCACCCTATTTCCATGTACTCACGTTTCTCTCTTAACTGATGCTTTTTTTTTTTTTTTTTTTAATTTTATATTACATCTGATTTTAGGCACATGTTATAAAGTTTTGGAGGCAAAAGTTGTATCGCTGTCCAATTTTTAATCTCAAAAGTGGTCCAATAATCTGAGTACATTGAGGGGGGAGCTGATTTTTAACAAATATATTCAATTCCAGTGTTTCTTTCCG